ACACCTTTGAGCCAGGGCCAGGGCCAGGGCCAGGGCCAAGGCCAGGGCCAGGAGTCAGTCACTGCTGGAAACTGCTCTCAGCCATTGCACTACTCCTTCCTCTCAGGCTTGTCTGCTATGCAGAGTGCAGAGGTTACAACAATTAATCCTGTATTAACATGTCTTTCATCTTTATTGTGCAAAGCACTCTTACATGCTTTATCTCACGTTATGTCCCTCTCTTGATGCAGGACATATATAAATTCGTAGTTGAACTTATTGCACTTAGAGAATTTTAGCCATGGTAGAGAGCCCTGGTTTATAGCTTCATGAAGCTTCTCTCTTTAAGATGGTTTCTTTAGCTTTATAGTTTCCTTCATCAAACACATTAAAAATCATGGTCATACATCAAAAGATGGTTTGGTCCTGGCTGGGTGGCTCAGTTGATGGGAGCATTGTCCCATACACCAAAAGTTGGCAGGTGTAATTCCCATTCAGGGCACATGCCTAGGTTGCGGGTTCGATCCCTTGTTGGGGGCACTGCAGGAGGTAACTATCGGTGTTTCTCTCTCACATTGATGTTTTTTTCTCTCTCTCCCTTTCCCTTCTTCTCTTTCTAACATCAACATTTCCTTGGGTGAGGGTTAAAAAAAAAAGATGGTTTGTAAGTTGATAAGCAGGTAATTAACATTTTAACATTCAACCATGCTTATTAATGAAATTATTTCCATTGTCTTCATTAATTATTAGAGAATTTAAGAAAAATTGTTGGGAGGAAAAAGGCAAGATTATCAACCACAATATTAACCCTTTTGGGTTTCATGGTATGTTTATTTTTATCTGTGGGAGAAGAAAAATATGTGAACATGATTCATAACCAGAGTATGTGAGCCAAGCATGTCAAACTCAAAGGCCATCACAAGCCAAATAAATAAGACATGCAGCCCACAAGCCCAAAATCTGACATGCTTGATGTAAGCACTATTTTTAATTGCTTCCTTAATGGTAGCCAGGTTTTCTACTCTCTCCACAACAATGGCCCTCAGAAAAAGGGCAGGTTAAAGCCCCTGCTAGGAAGGTAGAGAGTGTGGGAAAGTGGGAAGGGAAAGAGAAGAAAGGGTCAGGGGTCAGCTGCTAGGTCCTCGACACCTCTCCCCTTCTGCTTTGGGCTTCACCTGAGAGTGATGTTTCCCAAACTTCTCTCATGATGAGAATCACTGGTGTTGTTAAAATACAGATTCCTGAATCCCAACTAAGAAGTGCTAAACTAGAATTTTTGGGAACATATAGGTAAAATTGTATACTTAACTAGTGCATACTTAACCAGGTGATTCTCATCATGAGAGACGTTTGTGAAACACTGCCGTAGAGGACAGGCTTGGTAAGATAGGAATGGACTGTTGGCTGAGGTGTGAGGGAGGCTGCAAGGAGAGTCCTGGTCATGTCCACATGCCATTCACTCTTTCAAAGTGTACAGTTCAGTGATTTTTACTGTATTCACAAGGTTATGCAGCCATCCCCACTTTCTAATTCTGTGATACCTAACTCTATCCCTGCAGCTTCTCTTAGCACAGCTGCGGCAGAGTGGAGGAGATGATAAATGCAAAGGACCAGACTGATGTTTCGGTGCATTTATTTGTTTAACTTTTTGTTGTTAATCCTCACCCAAGGATAGTTTTTCCATTGATTTTTAGAGAGTGAAAGGGAAGAAGTAAAACAAAGAGGGAGAGACATCAAAGCGAGAGAGACATCGACTGGTTGCCTCCTACACGTGCCCCAACCAGGGCCAGGTGTGGAACCTGCAACTCAGGTAGGTGCCTTTCACTGGGAATCGAACCATGTCCCTTCAGTCCAAGGGCCGATGCTCTAACCACTGAGCAACTGGACAGGGCTGTTTCTGTGTATTAATTAGGTGCTTCCATTGTTCAAAATACCCCACATTCTGCAGGTATTCCAACAGTTGGCTCTTCAGATAAAGACAAGATGTAGGTAGCCTCAGTAATGTGTGATGTATGCAGACCTAAGATTCCATAAACACCAATCTCAGTGGAAGCAGCTGGCACATATATTTGAAGAATATATGCAGGTGTCTTTAGCATATGAATTACAAAGTAATGTGATCTGAGTTCTTTAGCCAAAGTTCCCTTGATTCATAATCAGAAATCCTGATTCAAAAGCAAACCCTCCTGTCTTATCAACAGGTTGACTATTGATTAATGCATACGTTAGAGGCAGAAAAAACAGGATCTCATTTCCAGAAAATGGGATGATTTCTTGTAAATCACTTAATCGCTCCTCTGAGAAAATAGCAGGAATCAGAAGTTCCATTAACCTTAATACCATGAGAAGAGTAAAAAAAAACAGCCAAAGTGTTCCATTAGGAAGTGAACAAAAGAGAGGAAAAAACAGAGGAGAGGTGGGGCCAACAGGAGAAGAAGAAAAAAGCATTGGGGGAGGGGCGGGTGATGAGAAAAGAGGGAGGGGCAGAAACCTGGCAGAGCTGCAGCTGCTGCCACCTGCCTGATGCTCCGCTCTGAGAGAGAAGCCTGGACCATATACCTTTAGGTGATGCTTTTCTAACAATGCAAAGGAGATCAATAATGTTGTAACGACTTAAAAACAACCATATTGGTTAGCCCTCCGAAAGCACACAAAAACAATTGTATTATTTAGCCACACAAACATTCAGAAGAATGTTGAAGGAACGAGGTTTGAAAAAGTCAGCGACACTGTGTTTTGCAGTATGCGTCTGTGGCTTCTTTAGGAGCAGCTTTGTTAAAGCCAGTCACCAGTGGTTGGAGGGAGGCCCCACCCGCATCTAAACTATTAAAGTTTCACACTAAGTTAAGACTGAGGGGCTGAGTGCTCCCGGGAGACAGTGCCAGCGCCCAGGAGAAAAGGGGATAAATAACAGGTGCTTTCAAGAGCTCTGCGGGACTTTCCAGCTACACGTCCCCGAAGAAGCATGGCTTTGACAAAGGCGAATTGTCATTCCCAAATAGGCAGGAAAAATAAGAGATTCCAAAGACACATATCATGTTCTCTCATAAAAATCATTTATTGGCACACCAGAAATGTCATTTTTTTCCTAGTACAGCAGCTTCTATTCTTGCAATTCTGTGTAAACTACATGTTACAAGTCACTAGAAATCTAATTAGCAGGATGGATTTCATAAAGGACAAGGGTAACTATGAGTCTACAGCGGCCCAGCCATCGAGTCTCATTGGAGAGGAAATCAAATATCAGACTAGTGTTGCCCTGCAACGGAGGTTTTCTGTAGCCGAGGGAAACCAGGACGGACAGACACGGGATAGCACCCATTCAAAAAATTAGGTACATGTGACTAGAAAGCTGGAACTGAGAGAACACATCTAAACCAGGTAAGCACAGAACTAAATCAGTAGCTATTTACATATATTACTTTTTTGCCAAAACTTTAATTTGCTAGCTTTCCCATCCTACCTCTTCACTTTTATTTGTTATTCTTGATGTGTGTGTTGTTGTTGTTTTCATGGTGAATTCCTTGGCTCACTGGAAAATATTTAGACCACTGATCAGAACATCCTTCCAGATCCTACATTTTCTAAAATGTCATATTCAGCTAAAGAATCTGAAGGGGAACTTACATGTCAGTCTCTCTCTCTCTCTCTCTAGAAGGAACAAGCGTTATTATTTTGCTATCACTCATAGCAACTGCATACAATTTCATTTTCTTCCAAACATTATTTGAACGACTCCAGGAAGTCAGGTTGAGCGTGGCAGCAGAGAGGATGGATTTTTCTCATCTGTCACAGGCACAGAGAGTACACAGGGGGGTGAGCGTGTTTATCCTGAGAATGCGCTAAGATGGACTGAGACCGAAGTCCCCCACTGCTGAGGATGGGCCCACCTCCTTCTGGCCACTGTTCCTCCCCCGTCCCCCCATACATTTTTAAGGCTTAGTATCGTTGCAGCATTAACAAATAAGAGTGTTGACATTATTTCTACCAAAGAAGGGCTCTATGATGAATAGCAGCAGGTACCCTAATTAAAATAGCACGGTTGAAAAGGCATTGAGTTGGTAGGTTTCTGGTGCTATGGCCAAAATACATGGATTTTTAGTATCATGGCAGGGGGTGTAAGAGACCTTGCCAATGAGCCTCTCTCTCCCTTGTTTATTTCCTTTCTAGTTCTAACAATTTGTTATCATTTTGTTTTTGGGTTGTTCTCCTAGGAGGACAGAGACCACACCTGTGTACTCACCACTGTACACCACTGTGTCCCGTGTTCCTAGGATAGTGCTCGGTCCATAGTAGGCTCTCAATCAGAAATGTGTATTAAAGAAATGAACCAAATTGTTAAGTGCCTTGATCTGCTCAAGTCTGGAGACTTTCCAGTTTCATTCAATGACCAGGGGTCTGTCCTGTCCTAATGACCCAGCTATCCTAGCAGTCCTATCCATAGTGTAGCTGATAGTTTTGTGCTTCAATGGATAGAAAAACTTTTCAAAGCTACCTTCACTCCGTCCACCTCCCAACGATCAGCTATGCAGAGCTAACACTGCATGAGAGGTAGCAGGGCAAGAGCATTCTAGGCTCCCAGTTCAGCTCCTTCTTCCCTACCTCTCCCTACCACCTCTGACAGAAAGCTTAAGAAAACAATTTCCTCTTGGCAGGGCCAGTTCCATATGTCACTGATAACATGATCAGCAGGGAAACACGAGGTAACTCACCCACATAGAAATGAAGTTAACTAAAAGCAAAGTCTGAAAGAGGAAATGAAGTGACACGTGGGTCGTCTGGGTCCTTCGCTGATTGGAGTTGCTGAATATGGGAGCGAACGCAGGCATTACAGCAATGGAGAGGGTGGAAGGGAAGGGGCGGAGCTGTGGGGTGTAAAGACCATAGAGGACCAGCTTTGCTCTCCTCCTTCTTCCTCTCCTTCCAGCTCTCTGGCATCCCACCAAGCTCCAGCTGAGCTCCTTGCAGTTGCTTCTCAGGTGGAGGTAAGAGCAGGCAGCTGGCGCCTCCGCAGAACGTCCTTAGGCTATTGATGCTCTGCTGGAGTAGAAGTCAGGGACTGGGAGTCCGGTGTGAAGTGTGACCTGCGGGGAGAGACTATGAGTCTTGGAGGCATAGCAGGACCCCTGCCTCCCCTTCTCTCTGCACCCTCCTTCCCAGGGCGCAGTGGGTGTGTTCCTAACTCAAAAGGGATCTGGTCACTCTTCTTTAATCCAAACTCTAGAGCACGTTGAAGAGAATTGCAGTAGAATTCTTCCCGTGCTAGGAACCTGGTCATCATGGTGGGCTCCCAGATCCTGGAGACACTTGATACTATGGTGCTCATGTTAAGACTCTGGAGAGATCGTGTTCCTTATGACTAAAGACCCAGGCATTGATCTGCAAAGCCTGTTGGCCACATTGTAGTGATCATTGCCAAATTCATGGTTAGAGAACAGATAAGCAGACAACCCTTCCGTTATTACTTGTCCACTAGCTATTCCAATTGGGGATTGCATAGATGATTGTCAGGTGTAAGAAAAATGGGCCCTTAATGCAATTTCGCTGACTTCTGTCCAACCTCATACGGCAATGGACAAGGTTGGAATCATTTCACACAGTACTGCCATGGTTCCAGCTCTTATCCTCCTCTTCCCCAGACCAAGAGCCTTGATCTAAAGATACTCAGAGCAGCTAAAACTGTGGGAACTTTGGATTAGGTTTTCCAAGGCTCACTTCTAGGGTATTTTATGGTTTCCTTTTTTCCAGTGTACAGGCTGAACTTGATAGATTAGATTTCAGCCTCCCAGGAAAACGCAACTAATTGCAGGAAGAGAGAAGGGCAGAGGTCACTGGGCTGGCATCACTTCTATAATACATCCTGATAAACAATGGATTTTTTAAATAGTTCCCAACACTGTGGTTCTGAGTAGAGCAAAAATTACCTGCAATGTTTTGATTCTCAAGTCCTATCCTTTTTTTAAAAAAATAAAAAATAATATATTTTATTGATTTTTTACAAAGAGGAAGAGAGAGGGATAGAGAGTTAGAAACGTGGATGAGAGAGAATCATTGATTAGCTGCCTCTTGCATGCCCCTTACTGGGGATGTGCCCACAACCAAGGTACATGCCCTTGACCGGAATCAAACCTGGGACCTTTCAGTCTGCAGGCCGACACTCTTTCCACTGAGCCAAAATGGTTTCAGCTCAAGTCCTATCTTAACCTGTTAACCGAGCGGGACGTATAAATACGTCAAACGTAAACAATATCGGGTACGGGTAGGACATATGAATACGTCCTTGAAATATATGTTGTGTCCTGAAACAGGCGGGACATATATTTCCAAACAACAAAGGTATTAGTCATCTATACATGTCTCGACATGAATTTAAGACACGGAGGGAATCAGTATAATTTCGCTATTGAGAGTGGTGGACGTGTTCTGGGTGAGCAGTGACGGGTATGTACTTACACTTACCTACTTATTTTCGTATTATATATTATTTACTTATATTTACTTATATATATTTTTATATACCCAACCTTTATATAATAGAAAAACATTTAAAATTGATCCAATCATCAATAATTTGTCAGAAAAGTTTAAAAGTTTTTATGTATGTGAACAAGAAATATGCGTAGATGAATCTCTTTTATTATGGAAAGGGAATTTATCTTGGAAACAATATATATCTACAAAAACAGCTAGATTTGGAATGAAGTTGTTTATTTTGAGTGAAAGCCAATCTGGATACATACAAAATATAATTTTATATACAGGCAAGGACACAAATTATGGTTCGAACTACCCACAAGAAAAACAATCAACAAGAATTGTTTTGGAGTTAACACATGACTTACTGAATAAAGGGTATTGGATTTACTCAGATAATTTCTATACGTCAATTCATTTGGCTGAACTCTTGTGTCAAAACAATACAGACATTGTTGGAACAATGAGGATAAACAGAGTCAGAATCCCCAGTGAAATAAAAACAAAAAAATTACAGAAAAATGAACATACAGTAAGAATCAAAGACAAACTTATGGTTTTAAAATGGAAGGATAAAAAAGATGTATTGATGCTCAGTTCTATTCATAATGACGAAAAGACAATGATTGAAAAGAGAGGAAGAAGGCAAGAAAAACCCAATGTGGTCCTGGATTATAACAAGAATATGGGCGCATAGATTTGGGAGATGGGGTTATGGTGGCCTACACGGCTGCCCGTAATAGGGTAAAAACATTTTATAAAAATTTTTTTCTACGATTAATTGATTTATGCTGCTTCAGTGCATATATTATATACAAAAAAGATAAAGGTCATTTGGATCGATTACACTTTTTGATAGAGTGTGTAGAGAAATTGGTAGATAACAACATAGTGAAAACCCACCCAAAGACATCAGCAAGCAGCTCTACATCTAAACCATCAGCTTAGTTGAAAGGCATTTTCCAGAACAAATGAAAAGCGATATAGAAAAAACTAAATCCAGGAAATGCCGAGTTTGCTATAAAAAAGGTGTTAGGAAAGAATCTACATACTGGTGTCCAGATTGTAAGGTAGCACTATGTATCAACAATTGTTTTAAAATATATCACACGGAAGTTGAGTTTTGAATTTTCACATCTATATTTCAATTTTTTAAACTCAATATTTCTATTTTATTTGTGTGCTTTTGTTTATTGTTCTGTAATTGTTAATTTTTTTATATTTTTTATTGTGTATAGAAATAAAAATATATATTTTTTGTAATCTTTATAATTGTTTGTAAAATTTATAATTTTTTAATTCAATGTTTCCATTTTTTGTTGGTATTCTTTTCTATATGTTTGTAATTTTGTATTTTCCTTTGTGCTTTATATATAAATAAACAAAAATATATATTTCATTTATTTTAATTAAGTATAAATAAAAAAAATAATAATATAAAATTACATCCACTGGGCATGACGTACTGACACGTCCTAGTGAAAGAGTATGTGCCTGTTGTACGTTTCGTAATTAAAAAGGGAACTTCCCGGTTAACAGGTTAAGGCAGCCATTTGCTGAATGAGATTCGCGCTGACAATGGGAGTTCCAGCTCAAGAAGGAAATAAAAGCCCAAGTCCTAGCTGTGGCTGGCAGGGCCCACCCCTTCCTGATCATTTCTCCCACTGCCCCCAACCCCAGTGGCCTTTTCTTGCCTGGTGAGGCCCCTCAGGCCTTAGAAACTTTGCTCTGGTTGTTCCCTCTGCCTGGAAAGCCCCACACAGCTCCCTCCCTCACCACATGTGAGACGTTTTCATCTCACCACATTCGGTCTTTTCTACCGATCGCAGTCATGTACATTTTGATCTGGGGGAAGGAAATGAAACTCAGACATGGAGGTATAAAGTTGCCAGGATAGCTCAGCTCACCTGTGAGTGCATCAAGGCCTACCCACACTGACCACCCTGTTTAAGACGGCAATACCCTCCAATCCCAGCACTCTTGATCCTCTTTCCCTACTTCGGTCTTTGTTCCCTCTCACTGACTGCCTTCACACACATTCTATATTAAACATGGTAATTGTGCTTACTTGTTGTCTGTCTCCTTCAACTGGAATGTGAACTTTTGGAGGGCAAGATTTTTATCTGTTTTTGTTTTTGCTGATGATTAATACTTATAATAGTGCCTCACACAGTAAAGGCACTCAACATATATTTGTTGAATGAATGAATGAGAAGAATCTGTTGGTCGGGGCAGGACACAGGCATTCTGCACTGCCCCAGCCGCTCAGGGCCTCTGAGCAGTGTGGGAAGGAGGAAAGACAACTCCAGGCCAGAGCAAAGGTGGTGCCAGCAGCCAGGGGAAGAAAGACCCATTCTTGCATGAATCTTTGTGCACCAGGCTGCTAGTTCACAATAACTCAGAAATAACTACTTTTTTGTGTGTGTGCGCAGGAACTGTTTTCCATCCTCATACATCAAGTAAAAGTGCAGAGAAGATGCTCAAAATTTCTGGTAACAGTGCTAATAGCTTGGTCTTACACCCTCTCGTCTCAGGCACTCATGGGGCTGCATGAGGCACTTGTTTCCATGCCAGATGGTTCAAGAGTTTCATTTCTACTAAAGATGAAACGAGGGCTCAGAGGGACAATTACTAGTACACCACGAATAGAATTCCAGCTTCCCACTCGCTGTTAACTAAACTGTGTCCAAGTAGAACGAAGGGGCTTAGGCTGGTTTGGGACCCTGTCAGTTGTAATGTTGACCCCTTTCCCTCCTCCTTTCCTGCCTGACTGGATCTGGACCTGACACAGTCAGCTTCCCTCTCTCAGGGGTGGACTTGCCCGCCCACGGGCAGCTGGAAGCAGAGCGAGCAGAAGCTGCTTCTGCACTCACAGCGCGAGGCTCACCTGCACGTTCCTGTTCAGGCTGACGGCCGGGAAGAAGAGGCCCTCCATGTTCTCGAAGGCGATGGGCCCTTGCTGCTCGTCGTTGACAAAAAACGTCAAGGTTTTCCTGTTTAGGTCGAGGAGGACTCCGATGGTGGCCCCTTTTCCGATCCCTCCCTCAGTTCTGTGAAAACAACAACAGAAAGCAATTGGGTTTCCCTTTCCTGTCACGGTGCGGGGGGCTCCCCGTTTGTATGGGTAAGTGTTCCTTGGCTTGTTTACAGGTATTGCCTCCTCCCTCCCAGGAGCCTTTTAAGACAGCCCCCTCCTCCCTAATCGCTTCTCTTTACACGAAATGTTAATATCACAGATACATTGTGCATCTATGTATGTGTGGATGCATATCTGTGCTTTATATATTAAAAGGTAGGGTTTTTTGCTTACATTCCCCCCTCCCCCCAAACCAATTTCCATGCACTTGGGGGAAATATGGCCCCTCCTGAGAACGAATGGGTTCAACAGCACTGCTCTGCTGTTGCTGAGAGTGACTTCATTCACACAGAGTCACCAGAACCGAGACTCGGCTCCGCAAAGAATTGAAGACCAAGAAAGAGAGTAGCCGTTGGGCCGGCTGAGTTCTGTGCCCTACATGCTGCACAGAGGGTGTGGATTCAATATCATTTAATCAAGAGGGACTTAATTTAAAAATCAAAATAGAGAAGAATTTAAGCTGAACTTAAACATATGCATGAAAAATTGGATTTGGGGGCCTTAGGCTACCCTTGAAATAGAAAAATTCATTCCAGGAAGATGGTAATTTTGCATGCCGCATGGGCATTGAGAAGTTGAAGGATCTCTATAAAGTGACAACATCGGGGAAGGAGGCTCTCCCCTGCAGGAGACAGAGCGATTTTAAAGAATCTGAACTCCAATGTCACTTCACAGTGAATTGTGTCTTACGCTTCCATGGAGGGTTTCACAAACACCATTCAGCACGGAGGAGCAGCTCTGCCCCTTCCCCTCGTTGAGGGCTGGCAGTATTTAATTCCCTCCTCCTCTCCACAGAGCACAGACATTTAAGAGTGCTGGTCCTTCCCTCTGGCATCCAGAAAACGGACTACACACAGCTGTTAGAAGACAGGTTTACAAATTGTGACTTGTATTCACACCTTCAACATTGACAGCACAAGTGCCACGAATGTGCATGCAAGCAGACGTGTTCAGCTTTAAGAATGTGTTTCTCTGCATAGTGTGACAGTGGCCATTATTCACCCCTTTACTTCAAAATGAAGAAGCTAAGAGGGAAAGGTAAGCTGGTACAGGGGTGGTGGTTTCCGGGATTCAGTTACCGAGGGTTCCCCCCAAATGTAGGTCACTGAAGAAGACTGAGCTCCACCTAATAGGGTTTGACAGCAGGCTGAAAGGGGATGCGTGCTCACTTAGGGAGAGTGAGTAATACACACCAGCCAGGGAACAGGAATTGGAGGCCCTAGGAGACCCTGGCTAGAGGCGGGGCAGCAATGAGCATGTAGCAAAGGCTGGAACGGTGTAGGCCACTATCCTACCACTGCCTCGCTCACTTTCCTTTTGATTGGACTGATTTTTTTTTTTTTTTTTTTAAAGAAACACCAATGAGAATGTATCCTGGGGAAATCATTGAGAATAAAGAGGACAGGGTCTATGAAAGATACTTATGTAAGAAATTCATAAAAATAATCATAAGAAGAGAAACAAGAGCTTCTATTTTCAGATGCCTCTGATGTAGGCATGTTTGCACATTCCATTTAATCTTAGGAACATTCCTGCATGGAAAAATATTAATATCCTCATTTGGTGGATTTAAAAATTGAGGTTTGGAAAAACAAAATAACTTGTCCAACATGGCTTTTCTGCTAAGTGGAGCTAGAATTTAGACTCCTGGAATGTTGTCCTGTAATGGGTGTGCCTGGGGATTCTTAGTTTCCAGCCAGGGGTGGGATATTACAATGAAGGGCCTGCCGTTACGTGATCAAACAAGCAAACACAATACCCACCAGGATGTCCTCAGCTAAGACTAGCAGGACTCCTCCTGTGCTACTTAACGAAGACCGCCTGCCCGACCTCGACCTCCACCTCCTTAACGTTGTCTATGTAACAGGTCTTTGAACTTGGGCTCTCGTTCTCGACCAGAAGCCAACGTGAAGAAGGCTTGGTGTGGGGGCTGCAGGGTACCTGTTGGTGTGCGAGTTGTTGTGCATGAACCAGCTCCGGTTATTGTCCACATACATTGCCCAGGCTTTGTCGTCCTTTCCTAACATCACATCCTTCATCACGTCCATGCGGGCCACGCCGAAGGCAGGGTCGGGGTGGTTGTCGTAGCGATCCACGGTGATCTCCCAGTAGTGGACTCCCTTGGAGAAGCCTGTCTTCCCCAGCACCACCCGGTCATCGTAGCTGCTGCAGGTCACAGTCAGGTTGTCGTTGGAGAAGATGATGTCCGAGTGTGCGGAGCCGGGGTCAAAAGCAAACCAGGCCACTGGGGACAACAGAAAGAAGTGGGGTTAGCAAGACGGACCCAGCAAACCCAATACTATACCAACCTCCTGGGCGCTGAGGGGCGCTGTGTCCCATTGTCATGCTGCCGTGCAGGAGGGAGGTGTCCGGGCCAGGAGGGGCTGTGAGTGGGCAGACAGGGGCCACATCTTGGGAACTGGTACTCTCTGTGCCCAGAAGCAGACGGAGGACACCTGACCGATTTAGCAGGGGTTACCTGGCTCAGACCGCACTCCCAACAAGGTGATCTGGGAGTGGGATGGAATCGATTTTGGAAGGTGCAAAGTGCCTTCACCCGGTGACTGGCAGACAGTACACCAGAGACATAAAGTGAGAGGGATGCGCTAAGATGCCTGTGTGACCCTGAGACAGGGAGGCTGGGATCTAGAGTTCTAGATGGAGGAGGGACAAAACACACCGAGCCCAGGAACTATTCCTTCGGCAGAACTGCTCAAATGTAGTCATTTTGAAAATGCCCTCGGGGCTAGTAAAAACTCAAAAGCTGCGATGCTGTCAGCGACATGAACGGGTTTTCATGAGTGTTTGTGATGTGGACACAGGACAGGTTGCGTCCTTGATAACTCAAATATACAGTTTGTGGCAGGTGTTTGGGACATGGGGTGCAGACAGAATGATGTCTTTGTCCACCCTGCTATGCCCCGAGTTCTAAATGCCGCTGGCTGATCACACACTCTAGAGAGAGGTCACTGCTGACTTACGGAACCCGTGAGCCCCCTCACAGGCACTGTGGTCTTTGCTATTTGTAACAGAGTAAGTTTATTTCATACCTGCCAGCAGCTTTTTAATGTCAACTGTGGTCATTCCAAGTGAAAGGCATGGGAGAGAGAAATAGGAAGCAAAATGGACATTGATAAGAAAACAGAGCTCTTTTGATAGGCTAATACTCAAAAAATGGGCTCAATTTTAAACTCTAGGAACACAAGTCAGTCTGACTACCTCTACCCACACTTAGTGCTCATAAAGAGTGGTTGGCATTGATGTATATGTAAGAAAACTGGCCAGAAAAAGTGATCTTTGAGGTGCAAAATTAAAATACAGGTATCTTTTCCATTTTTCTAAGTATTTGAGAAGCTATTATAATGGTAGTTGAATGACAATTAGACAATTTTATTGACATAAAAGAAGCTATTGCCATTTATTTTGTGTAGGAAATTGAGCATACCAATCACACAAGAAAAAGATAACAATTACAATAGGTATACTTGCCTAATTGAGAGTAAGGTGCAGATTGTGGCTCAAAATTGCATCCTAAAAAGAGATACTACACATCAAAGCTATGAAGCAACAACCATGTTGATAAAAATTATTTGTTTACACTTAAAAAGCACCTGCTGAATACAGTCACCAGAGGCTTGATTCATGAAAAACCAAAGCCCTTTTATGTTAGTTTATTTGATGAGTCAAAATGGCTTCTCTGCTTTTTTGAAATAAAAAGTACCTCTTTTTTTTTTTTCCCATTTCATAAATCCTCCTCTAATTGATTCTAAATTGGACAGCTTAAATTTTCTCCTTCTTCAAATTCAATTTTCTCCGCTAAAGTTTCCACATTAAGAAGGATTACTGTTTAGAAATGAGAAAAATTCATCCCACTGAAATGGGAGAAAACACTGGATCTTGATAAAACTCCATTCTCCATCACTATTCCATGCACTTCTAACTCGGGTTAGGCCTTTGTTGTAACTGGGCCCAAGTGAAATGATACGCATGTAACCAAACGGGAAGTGTAATCTATATGCTAATAAATACATCTGATAATTATTAATAACGACACGAGTGAAATGTAATAAAAATGGCCTCATCTTCTCAGATTGTTTTACTACATCCTTCACATCTAAGGAAGAGGAGGGGGATTTGGTGGATGGTGGGGGTGTGAGTGATCTCAGAATAGTTTAAAATCACCTGTGGGAACTTTTCCAACTACCCCTTTTCCTTAGGATTCGGTACCCCTCCCTGCCCCATGAGGCGTTGCATTGGGTGGAGGAAGCAGTCTTGTATTAACGTGTTCAAAGATGCGAGAACTATGATTTCAAGTGGTGCCAGAGACTGCTTAGGAAACATGCTTGTGATGAGCACTAGGGTATTTTTTAGAGAGAATAATTTATTTTTTTCAACTCAAAAGACCTTTAAAATATTAATTTGTAAAACAATTGAAGTATGATTTTCAAAAGAATTAGAAGGGAACTTAGAAAGGACTAATAATTGAGTTAAAAGCAACATTTAAAGATTTTGAATTTACTTGTTTTTTGGTTACTCTGGAATGAAATTGCATACAAAAGAATAATTTTCTCCTGAGAACACATGGAGTTTTAAAACCGAATTTCATATCCAGCTTTGAAGATAAACTGTAGAATCTCAACAGGGCTTTTTACATGTTTAAATGAATCAGGCCTTTGTGCAAGTCTTTTTCAAAACAAGTTTTGTGAAATATTTTTACACTACTTTAAACACACCGTCAAACATTCAAGATTCAACGATACAACCAGAACAATGCAAACAGCCATCAATTACCCCGAGACCCACATTTCATTTTATTCTCGAGACAATATACATTACAGAGACTATTACAGTATTCCCGTACATTAGACACAAGTAAAAAAAAATTCCATAACAAAGCATGTCTGAAAGCCAGTAGTGCACAGAAAAACAATAAGAAACGTAAAAGCACAAAGAAAAATGTCATTTTAAAAGAGAGCTTGAAGTCTCTGCATCCTTTTTGCACTGTCATGCTGTGGTCTTCATTCCAGGATGTGGGATGAGCAAAAAAGAATAAAATAAGAAACAAAAGAAACCTTTGGAAATGTGAAATGTGCATCATGGGTATCCATGATTACAATATAGTCCTGAAGAGATCAAATAGGTCTGCATCGAAGATGTTTAAAGTGTCTACTTGCTAGACAGTTCCCTGCATGGTAACACAGGTCTAGCTCCCCTGCAGTCGGCCTAGAGCCTGTCACAACCTGCTTGGCTGTGGGAAACCTCTGGGGAGGCCAGACTTTTCAATGACTCAGATCTTTGGGTCTTAAATTAGGTAAGGGCTTCTAATTCAGCTAGTGGTGGTCCCTCCCCTTTGCTTGTTAAAAAACAAAACAAAACAAAAAAACCTCCAAACCCAGCCTTGAGCCCAACTGTCCCACCAGCGAGCACAAGCTTTTGCAGAAAATGTTTTTACTTTCTGCCCTCTGGCTTGCTTGTTTGTATGATGCATTCTGCTGTTGGTGTGCTTTGTCTTATTTTTTTTTTTTCAATAAAGATCTCTTGAGTCTATGTTTAATCAGACCACTCCAGGGGGGTGCACTGATCCAGTGCCCCAGACATAGCTGGTTTCCTGGATACAGCAGGGTTGCAAACCTCTGAGCCTCCCCTCAGCCAGCTCCTGTGCCGTGCTATGTCACTGCATACGATGACAGAGCAGGATGCCCAGGGTGGTACCAGCTTGTGCAAAAAGAACATCTTCACTCATCGCTTTTCAATGCCATTGTACATTGACCACAACTCGATGGTGAGGGGGGGGGGAAGGAGAGGAGGACGGGAAAGGGGGACCCTCACACCACACAAACAAGACCACCACAAAGCTCCATGGTCCAATGCCCTTCATATCAAAGCAGGCCACAAACAGAGACTCGCTCTGGCCAGCTCCACGCACATGAATGGCAAATACAAAACAGCTATTTCAGAAATGCCTTCAAGGCACAGAGATCAAGAGGAAAGGTTAGAGGAGTTCAGCTCACCCGGTGCATTGAGAGACTGTAAGGAGGAATGCAAGCTCAGCTGATGGGGTGAGGACCGGAAATCAAAGTAGGATCTCCCGGGAAAGCTGGGCTGTAGGTTTAGGGTGGAGGAGAAAGGACTCATTCTGCGGAGCGGCAATCTTTCCGAAGGCACTGGAAAAGGGGGTGTCTGTTCTTCTGAATCTGTGTCTAAACGTAAGATCAATGCAAACTAGAGATCAGAAATCTGCCACCTGCCCACGCACAGTTCCCCAAGACCTGCCCTGCTAATGCATCTATACACAGTCTCATCCTGCCTCTGTTGCCACAGGCATTTCCTAACCCCAAATGGCTTGGGTTGGGAGGGAATTCTAGGCAGGTCAGAACCCAAGACCAGGCAGAGGACATTACATACAATTGTTTTCATTTCCCCCAAATTTTTCATGGTAGAGAAAGTTTCCTTTTAATTAAATATGTTTAGAGTTGAAATTAAAAACTTTAGAGGTAAACTTTACCCCGTAGTGACCAAGGATTAATACTTCACCCTCTTCAGCTAGTTCCGAAGTTACTACCTCTTACAGGGTTTCTACTTAGGAGGTGTTGATTTTTACCAACTTCCTGCTATTTCACATCTCCCCTCTTCTCTCCATATATAGTTTTTTTTTTTCATCTCAAAATGGATGACTTTTCTATACCAGCACACTCGAGATGGGTTTTTTGGATAGGCGAGGAAAATGGGGCTGACCATTGCGGAAGGAGTCTTACCTTTGTTTCTGAGTTATGATCAGACCCTAGGGATGCCCCTTGACCATCTCTGTTTCTCTATTGATAAACAAACTGTGAGCAATGGTGAGGTGAATTGGTGGCACAAAAAGGTCTTTATTTTCAGATAGTCAGGTCTGGTGTGAAGACCACTATTATACCAGAGAAAGGACTTATCAATTACTTGATCTGGCTTTAGGAGGGCTTGTAAGGTAGTTTCTCTAAATTACTAAATTCACTCCTTTCTCTTTTGTCAATCAATAACTGGTTCTTTGCAATCAGGTGGTCTGGGCAGAGATTGATGTTTTACCAACTGGGGCTTTTTTAGAACATAGTTTGATAGTCATAACTTAGCAACTACACATGACATGATGGTAAGAGTCAATGTCTAAAACCAACGAGGAACTTTCTTCCCATTGAAAAAGTACTTTTACTTCAGTGGCCAGAGGGTGTTCTTGAGGATATTTTTCTGGTTTGAGACTGCTTTGAACAC